TGTTTTTGGTGCAAACAGATGTACACAGAAGATACATTGACAATCATAGACATACTAGGATCCGCTAGGTTTTGAATTAGATTATCTTCAAATTCTCTCAATGTAAATTTGGTTTCCAGTGCAACCTATGTACTGATTTTTATAATATATACAATAGTTATCAATTCAAAAAAAAAAAGTACTTTTGAGAAAAACACTTCTCAAAATAAGCTGATTTTTGCAGCTTGGCCAAACGGGCTATTAGTCTCTGTACTGTATGTCTAACTTATTCCATTCTAATGCCAAATGTCCAAAGAATTTGAAGCTCAAAGTCTCTCAGACCAGCATGACCTATTAGAGGTAGAAGGCATGTCCCTTTTAATAAAAGCTTCAGTAACAGAAATTAGTAGTCACTTTAATATGCTCTGTGACCAGTTAAACAGTCCATACAAATTTCTCATATTTTAACATAGACTGTAGTTTTACAATAATCGTATACTAAATAGTCAAGAACATACGAATTTCTCATATTTTAACGTAGAGTGTAGTTTTACAATAATCCTATACTAAAATAGTCAAGAACATACGAATTTCTCATATTTTAACGTAGAGTGTAGTTTTACAATAATCCTATACTAAAATAGTCAAGAACATACGAATTTCTCATATTTTAACGTAGACTGTGGTTTTACGATAATGGTATACTAAAATAGTCGAGAACATAAAGGGATCAGAAAGGACCAAGTGCACTTGCCCAGGTCTTCTCTCTTTCTATTTCACAGCTAACATGTCATGAATCTCGTGAGATTATGGTGCATTTCTGTTGAATACGCTTCTTACATGAAAGGACAGGGTGTTTCATATTTCCCGACAAATGACTGTTTGCAAGTTCATCCAGAAGTTACATTTGATTGATTTGCTTCCTATGGTTCTAAACAACACAAGTAGACCAACTGTCCCCCTGCTTGGTGGACTTCCCCTCTTACTAGAGTGCGGAGTTGATTATTGGGGGCATCTAAGAATGCTCTGTGCATCATAGCTAGTTCTTGGGTGTTGTTATTCAGTTCCGTGTTTCCTCTAGATTGGCCATGAATGAAATTTCCCTGTTCGTCATGAATATTCGCTTTATGCAGATAATACACGATGTTGAGGCAATAGCTCATGCAACAAATGAGCATCCTCTAGCATTGCTTGCAGAACACACAAAGAAACTCTTGCAAAGAGATAATACTATTTACATGCCTATATTATCTCAAAGGCATCGTAATGCTGCTGCTGTTTCTGCATCCATACTTCACAAGCTTTATGGTATCAAATTGGTATGTTAATGATTAATTTATCTCCTGGAGTTCTAGTTTAGCTTGAATTATTCATGGTAATATGTTTAGTATGGGGGTTTGAGTGAATGTCAATCATTCAGAGACCATTCCTTGAAAATGCGGAACATCTGACTGAGGATACTATAGCTGTCTTTCCTGCTGCTGATAGTCTTGAGCAGTATATAATGCAAGTTATCATATCTACTTGTGCTGATGGAACTTCAGATGCTTACTGCAGAAAGTTAAATTTGTTCAAGGTTAGGAAACTCTTCCTGGCTTCTTTATATATTTTATATTAGATTAACTTAGGGCGACATTGTTTTGCCAAATTTATATTGGGCAGTTCCAAATGAAAGACTTATGGCCAGTAAATTAAGTAAATTAAGCTTATTGGATTTACCGTCTTCTGACCTCGGCATTCTAAATGCTCAGAGCCTTTTTTTTGGTTGGGGTAGGAAAGTTTTGCTGATAAAGTTGCCATGCATCATGCTTAATATTTTCATAATGAATTTGGTGACTTTCTTAGCTTATTTCTTGATTTATTCTAGATTGAAACTGTATCTGGGACATTGGTACTCCGATGGGTGAATTCACAACTTGCAAGGATTTTGAATTGGGTTGACCGGGCTATTCAGCAGGAGGTAATAACTAAGGGAGTTGCTAATTCTATTGATTGTGTTTCATTGAACAATAATATCATTTAATTTTTTGCCTCGTCATTATAATCCTTCTACTCTCTGTGCATATATCATTTACCATTTTTCTACCTCATGTCTTATATCCTTTTTTTCAGAAGTATAAGTTAAACGGGGCATCTCCCCTTTTCAATTCACTGATATGATAATAAGAATAAATTGAGCTCTTCCTTCTAAACAAAGACTCGCCTTTTCGCATATGAAGTTATTAAATTGGGCGTCTCCCCTTTTCATTTCACTGATATGATAATAAGAATAAATTGAGCTCTTCCTTCTAAACAAAGACTCGCCTTTTAGCATATGAAGTTAATTACCTTTTTGTGGGTTTTCAGCGGTGGACACCGGTTTCCCCTCAACAAAGGCATGGAAGTTCAATTGTTGAAGTCTACAGGATTGTGGAAGAGGTTCACAAATTATACTCTGTTCTTTGCATATATGTTTTTCTCAATTTTCTGTCTTTCCCAGGATCAATTTTCTATCACAATTCTGATTTCCACGCCTTAAGTTTATCGTGTTTCTTTATGGCATCAATTGATAAACAGACACGGTGAATTTATCTGAAACTTGTTTTCAGCAACATATGGGTGGATACTTTAATGTTACATGTCCGTGTTTAATCCATAAGTGAGAATCTAGGATGATGTAGTAGTATTCAGTCTTTATTTACCCTTGACTGCATATGCTAGTAGATGTATCACGGATCTTCCATAGATGTAGAAAAACAAATGATTTTGTTTAATATAGCTTTTAAACAGTAGAGAATCCAGAAGCATGTCGATATGACCGATACAGATTGGTATCACAGTAATATGGAAGAAGAGTTTCAATAATTGCGTCAGCAACAACAAAATTTATTTCTTTATTGATTTGCTTTATGTACAGCTGAAGTTTATCTTAATATATGTCAGGCAAACAACTTGTAAATGGAAACTGGACTTTGAAATAGTAGCCCATGAAAGCATAATGCTCCATGAAAGAAGCCATATCTAGCTTCTTGACTTTTGTGCTTCAGAGCGAAGTTTGACACCAACTGCTCTCAGCTACAAGATGAAGTTTGTGTGTGTCCTTCGTGTCCATGTTATCTCTAGCAGCCTAGCTTCTTTTTAGTTTTGGTTAATATGGTGAAACTTAAGTGAAGAATACTTAGCTTCCGGAGTACATACACTTGTAGATCTAAAGGCTTCTGAAGCTCCGGTTCCCTATCTGGTGCCGGGGGGGGGGGTGGACATTTTGCTTTGATCATTTGATTCTGATATGCTCACTGTAATTTACAAATGCTTTTATACGATACCAAATTTTGTAACGAGTTGAACTATTTTGTCACTGCAGACGGTTGATCAGTTCTTTGCTTTGAAAGTTCCAATGAGGCCAGGGGAACTGGGTAGCCTCTTTCGCGGCATTGATAATGCATTTCAAGTATATGCAAAGACCATTTTAGATAAGATTGGTATATTGTTGCTTTCTGCACAATCTTAAAGAATTCTTCTTTCCTGAAACTTATATACCTGCTGTTTCAGTTTTAGCTTAATTATCCTCCCGGTTCATTTTGTATCCTGCATTATGGTTTGATGAATGATATATCATATTAATGGATGGACGGATTATTAAATCTTCCAATACCGCGGTATTCAAATCCATTTCACAGTAGGGAGGGGAGGGGTGCCTCTTTACAGTTTCGAAGCTATCCTTCCCACTGGAGCTGTAAATATTCTGTCCGATTAACTAATAATTGGAAAACCTATTTCCCTCTTTTCTGGCTCACGTTATGGATGGATTGCCAATTTATCCGTTTGACAACCCTTCATCACCAGCCCAGTTTTTCATCGACAGGATTTAACATGTTCAATCTTCAAATAGCTTTGAAGCTTGTGTTTAGTGACTCTCTTTTTATTGACCTTCAAAAGTTGTACCATGCTTTATTTCTTCTTGCATTTTCATATCTTGCATATGTTTCTTCAGAACTGTTTACCACTAATTCAAACATACATATTTCATCGTGAACTTGCAACCATATGTGTGCAGCTAATAAGGAAGATGTTGTTCCACCTGTGCCTATTCTGACAAGATACTCAAGGGAACATGGAATTAAGGCATTCGTAAAGAAGGAGTTGAAGGATACAAGGATACCGGATGTCCTGAAGTCTGTTGAAATTGACGTAGTGGCCACATCAACGCTTTGTGTTCAGTTGAATAGCCTTCATGTGAGTTAAACTTTTCTACCTTCCGCTTTTTGTATGATTAAGATCTCAAGCTGTTAATCATTTGCTCTCTGTTTCACTTTCCCCTTTTTGATTGGATCTGAAGGGTGTATCTACACTGGTTGAATTGGAAAAGCATGGCTCTGGCTAGTTTCATTAGCTTGAAGCTGGACTTTAAATCAACTTGTAACCTGTGTGATGTTGTGTTTCTGTCTTAAGCAATTCTAAGATCGTTTATCCTTACAGTATGCTATTAGCCAACTGAATAAATTGGAAGACAGCATTTGGGAGCGGTGGACGAGGAAAAAGCATCACGATAAATCGATAAGTAAGGAACAACTCCCTTTTGACTTTGGAATATATTGATATTATCTTATTATCTCCTCTTAGTATGTAATTCTAGATTTGCAGCTAAAAATATTTTCTAACAATTTTGAGTAATGTTAAGAAGCATTTGTCGTCTTGAAAAGGTGCTCTCCATCTTTAATCTTTCTATATAAAGTGGACAATTGGAAGTATCTCTTTACAGACTGCAAAGATAGTAGACAGAAAAAAGAACAGTAAAGGAAGACATGGCAGCAGGTGGAGAAGAGGAGACTACTTTTCTATTTTAGATTTCTGTTTTACAGAAATAGTTGGATGGATGTGTTGTAAGCCAGGAAAACCATCAAGAATATTGCTTAAATAAAAAGTTTAGAATATTAAGAATTAGAAAACTGTCCTTAATTCATATAGTTCAAGATTCTTATATAAGGAGCTCTCTTGTATGTAGTTAACCATCTGATCTCTATAAGTTTTTTCTCTCTTCTTTTCCTCTTTCACATGGTATCAGAGCGTACAATTTAGCAAACACTTGCGTAGTTTTCCCTACTCATGAATATCTACCCAACTAAAATATTTCCATCTTTCCATAAATTCACTATCTTATCCTTTGACCGTTTAGAGGCACCACTCTTACCTCCGGCGACTTTTACGACCGTAATGCACCTCTTATAGATGGTCATTCCACATCAGACCATTTGTCCTGCAACCTTTCAAGCAAAAATTCCCAAAACTTGTTCTTCTCTTCTATCTCTTCGTGGTATTAGAATTTGGATCTTGATTCCTTCCTCTAAAGTCTAAACAGTGAATTTTCTGTTACTGGTAAACAAAAAATCCTCTTTTTTATGGTATCAAAGAGTGTATTTAGATCTCTCTTCTAAACATTTAATTTGAAGTCACAATTTATTTTCTCTTCTTTTTCTTTGTGTTATTAGAATTCTGAGTATTTAATCTATTCTCTAAATTGATTTTTTCTTAGATAGAAAAATATTGAAATTTGTGATCATTGTTATAACAACTTTTTGGTACTTGTCAGCTGCCAATTCAAGTCATTGCAAGATGCAATTTTTTCTGCTGTGCAATTGCCATTGAGTTTTCGGGGAAAAAAAAAATCTAACACTAATTTCTTTCTGGTGATGATTCAAGTAATTGTTTACGATTCCAGTGGCTCTTGTTAGTGTCTCTTGTTTACTAATAAGCAATCTTAAGTTGTTTCATCACCTTGAGTTTAAAGAGGACTCAAGTGAATCACTAAGAATTATGTTAGTACTTAGTCAAGAGAATGAAAAAGAATATTGCGTAGAATATTCTTGGAAATTATGTCATAATTAGGAATGCCGAGCATTACAAAACTTTTCTTATTTCATGTGCTGAGCACTTAAATCTTTGACTACGTATGGTTAAGCCTATGACTTGGCGTGCTTGGAATGTTTTGCAAAAGAAATTGGGGAAAAAAAAATATGAATAAAGAACTGCAAACCTGTTTTTCTTAGTTGTAATTAAAAAGGGGACGGGGGAGATTGACTTGAAATCTATTTTCAAGCATAGCTGCTGTATATTCGATATCAGCTGGGACTTTTAGCCTGTAGAATCTAGATACAATTCTTTATCATGATGAATGCCACTTGAGTAGTGGTACTCTTTCCTCTTCTGGAAAAAGATTAACTTCAATTTTTTTCCTAACAAAGAGAGCCCAGCTGAAGAGACTGCAAGAAATTTACAGAAGGACTCATTTGATGGAAGCAGAAAGGATATTAATGCCGCAATTGACAGAATGTGTGAATTTACTGGTGAGACTTTTGTTTTTATCTTCTGTTTTTTTCTTTTTTGGGTTCTCTGCAAATAATATAACTTTCAAGGATGTGTGGATTTACTAGCGAGAGACTTCTTCTTTGTCTTCTACTTTTTTGGGGTTCATTGCAAATAATTCCTAACTCATTTTTGTCAATTTTTGCAGGAACGAAAATCATTTTCTGGGACTTAAGAGAACCATTCATTGAGAATCTCTATAAACCGAGTGTTTCTCAGTCTAGGTTGGAATCAGTAATGGATCCACTTGATATGGTATTGCGTCTTATATTTGAGACTATTCTGTACATAAGTAACATCTTATAAATGTGGAAAAGGGGAAATGAATTAACTTTTGATGAAGTCCAGAAAGGGGAAAAGGAAATAACTTGTAGATATTTGTGATGCAATTGAGTCTGAAGAATAACAGCAAAGAGTAACTATCCCATGAAATTCCAACACTGATGAACTGATCTCTGTTGCTCCTTGATGTGCTGCTCTCTTTGCACCTTATCTCCCTCTTGTGATGGAAAGAAAGTACAGCTTAGTAATTTTTGGTCTTAAATGTTTGTTCAAACCTCTCTTCTAATGAAATGTTGGGATGTGGAAGGTTGAACTATAATTGCTGCAATAGAAATCTGATTCATAAATCCCATCTCAACTTCGTTTATGAAGCACCGGTTTTGAACCGTTAGAAACTGAAGTTGAATTTTTTTTTCCTACAATGGCATAAATGACCTATAGTAACACCTAGGCTTGTAGGTACTATTGAAATGTGAGAGACAGTATCTGCATTCAACCTTCTGAGCAAAACGATTTTGTCATCTGGATCCCTGATTTAGATAATTGTAAAAGTGATACAAACATAATATGGTTTTTACTTGCATCAATCCATTTTGCTGAGCTGGAATGTACCTCCCACTTTTCATGTATACTCAGAAAAAAGAGAAGCACAGATGGTATAACTGTGAACTGTCTTCCAATATTTGCAGGTTCTTAATCAACTTTGTGATGTGATAATGGAGCCACTCCGTGATCGTGTTGTGACAGGACTGCTTCAAGCATCACTGGTCTGTGTACTTACTGCTGTTTGGTTTTTCTGTTTTTAACTGCAGTAACTTTTGAATTCTTTGGAAATCGTATTTCACCAGGATGGCCTACTCAGAGTCATATTAGATGGAGGACCATCACGTGTATTCTCCTTGGGTGATGCTAAGCTATTGGAGGAGGATCTAGAGATCTTGAAGGTATTCTAACTGGTTTTTGTTGGATATGCTCGAGACATTTTTTTATCTACCTAAGATATCCAAACTAATTTTTGTCTACCTGATATCTTGAATTAGTGGACTTACAATATGATTATTTCTCACCTATGCTTGCTGTTTGTTTAAGGAATTCTTCATTTCGGGTGGGGACGGGCTTCCTCGTGGTGTAGTTGAAAATCAAGTTGCACGTGTTCGGCAGGTGGTAAAGCTGCATGGTTATGAGGTTAGTTCAGCAACCACAATGAAGCACTAAGATTAGCAGATTTGACTGCATAAAAACTTTGGTACCTGTGGTTACTGATGCTTGTACCTCCTTGCTTCTCCATGCCTCTATTATGAAATTGGTCTGAGCAATATGCACTTTTCTCATACTTGTTTTATTGCCCCCAATAATGTGTAAATATAGCACTATCTTAACAGATATAAAGATTGGTCAAAGATGCTGTAACACTAATATCAATTCTAGAAAAAGCGATGGTGTATGTGTTTAAAAATCTGCTTGCTCCTCAAAGACTGTTTATTAAGGCCATATTTTGCACTAATTCTAGTGCATGTCTAAGATGATCTTATTTGGTCGTTATATATCACATTTTATGGTGATCCTTCTCTGCGACAATATGTTAAATGGATAATGTACTACGCTTGTTTTTTATGGTACACAGACCAGGGAAATAATAGAAGACTTGAGATCTGCAAGTGAGTTAGAAATGCAGGGCGGAAGAGGCAAGTTAGGTGCTGATACCAAGACCCTACTTAGGATTCTGTGTCATCGAGGAGAGTCAGAGGCCTCTCAGTTTGTCAAGAAGCAATTCAAAATCCCCAAATCTGGAGCTTAGTGTACTTGATCTGTATACATTTTAGTGGACCTAGCAAAACCCTCCATGGGATTGTAACATAGACAGTCAGAACTTTTAATTTTCTTTTATTTCTTATTTTTTCATGATCTCATTCGTCGATGAGAACAATCTGCTGCGACAGATTTTTTTCTTCAAGGCAGATACTTAAAGCATAGCTTCTTTTCTTTTTGTTCTGTTCATGTATATGTTTAGTGTGCATTTCTTGCTTTCTTATAACCTGTTCGGGAGGCATGTATATGTATAATTTCTCCTTTCATGGGAGAATACGCTTGAACTTCTATTTCTAAGATTTTGGAATTGAGTTATATTGCTCGGTAAGTGAGAGTTTAAAGATTACGGGTGATATAACTATGATATTTGGTTTATGAAAGAAGGAAAGGCAAAAGAAATTTTTTGCCTTCTAGTGGGAAAAATATCTAGCTATTTCTCCGTTCTATGGTCATTCATTTGCAAAGAGATTGCAGAAACGAGTTTTTGTTTAGTAGTTTACTTTCCTTTTTCCTTTAGTGATACCAGCTAACGAAATTAAAGGAAATCTAAGTATCCTAAAGACCAAATGAAGAGAATTGCTCTTGAACAGATGACTTAGGAAGAGAAATGATTCCGAGAATTTAGAGAGAAAAGGAGATATATTCCATTGAGAATCTAATACAATTCAATGAGCATTACAATAGCTGTGATTTCAGCTTATATGAGAGGAATTCAGCTGTAGCTACTTGTAACTAACTTGTAACAAACTAACAAACTATAACTAACTTCCGGAAAACTAACTCACGTAACTGCTTATCAGGTCCCATTTTATTCTGATCGTAACATCACTCTCCCCTTGAAAACAATCCTTGTCCTCAAGGATTAAAAGAAGGAAATTTGAGGTGGAACTCTTGCCAATCCTCCCATGTCACTGTCCTCAGGAGCAGCATTCAACCATTTGACTAGAACTTGTGTTGTGGTTTTGCCATTCCTTGGAGCTAGTCTTCTGTCTAAGATGGCCTCTGGAGTAAGTAGGACATGGCCATGTTCAACATGAACAACTGGAAGTGTAGGGGAAGCAGTATGAGTACCTAGCTTCTTCTTGAGCTGAGAAATATGGAAGTGGGATGGATCTTTGACTGAGGAGGCAAAGCCAAAGTGTATGCAACTTATCCAACCCTTTGGGTTATCTGAAAAGGGCCAAAGTACTTGGCTGATAACTTCTGAAAGGAGTGGCTCTTCAAAGATAACTGTTTGTATGGCTGCAACTTAACAGACACATTCACCTACTGCATAAGTTCTATCAGTCATACCCTTGTCAGCTTGGGATTTCATTCTGTTTTGAGCTCTCAGCAAATGAGACTTCACAGCTCTAATTGTGGCTTCTCTTGCTTGTAAACTTCTGTCAACAACATCCAATTGAGAGTCAAAAGGCATATAGGGCAGCAAGGGTGGTGGTTTCTGCCCATAAACCACCTCATAAGGTGTCATTTTAATGGCTGAGTGATAGGTAGTGTTAAACCACCATTCTGCCAATGACAACCATTTAGGCCACTCTCTTGGTCGATCAAAAGTCATGCATCTGAGGTAGCATTCCAAGCATCTGTTGACCACCTCAGTTTGGCCATCAATCTGAAGGTGGTAAGCAGTTGAAGTTAGCAAGGAAACCTTCTGCAACTTGAATAACTCCTTCCAGAATTTGATAGTGAAGACTACATCTCTGTCAGAAACTATAGTCTTAGGCATCACATGGAGTTTAAAGACATTGTCCATGAAAATCTGAGCCACCTCCAAATCAGTATGAGGATGCTTTAGGGCCATAAAATGGGCAGCTTTCCTCAGCCTATCAACCACTATAAAGATAACCTCCTTGCCATGGACTTTTGACAGCCCTTCTATGAAATCCATAGAAACATCTTGCCACACCTTATCAGGAATAGGTAAGGGTTGTAGCAACCCTGGGTAAGCCAAATTCTCATTCTTACACCTTTGACAGATGTCACACTCCCTCACATAGGAGTATACAGTCTGCTTCATTTTCTTCCAATAAAAATCTTGTTTCAGTCTGCTCAAGGTAGCAGTAATCCCAGAATGTCCTCCAATGGAGCTACTGTGATAGAAGGCTATCAGTTTGGCCTTCAATTCTTCATTGTTTTCCATCATCATCCTGCCTTTTCTACTTAAGATCCCTGCTTGAAACTTGTAGTAAGGCTTGACTATTGATGTGGTCAGCAAGTTTTCTCTCAGTTTTTGTAGAACAATATCATGTTGCCATTGCTTGACTTCTTCTAATAAGTCCATGTGTACAGTAGAAATGCTACAAAGTTGTACTGCCTCTTCCTTCCTCGATAGACCATCTGCAACAATGTTCTCCTTCCCACTATTGTAAGATATGCTGTAATCATACCCAAGCAGTTTAACAAGCCACTTCTGCTGACTTGGTGTAGTAATTCTCTGCTCAAGTAGGTACTTAAGACTGTGGTGGTTAGTCTTAATAGTAAAGTGCCTACCTAGCAGATATGGTCTCCATTTTTGCACAACACATACCAATGCCATAAGCTCCCTTTCATAAACTGACAAATAGGGTGTTTGGCTAAGCTTATAAGCTGGTCAAACTGGCTTATAAACACTTTTTGGCTTATCTACGCGTTTGGTAAAATTAAAAATGCTTATAAGTTAAGTGCTTATAAGCCAAAAATAAGCCAAAAGCCATAAGTTGGTCTCCCCCAACTTATCAAATTTCAGCTTATAAGCACTTTAAGTTTGACCAAAATATTTACTATTCTATCCCTAAAATACTTCTTTTTAAAACAAAACTCTTTGTATACCCAGTTCTTCAGCTACTTATTATTAATTTCAGCACTTTTATTCAAACACGTAACTGCTTATTTTTTAAATCAGCTTCAACACTTAAAAGTGCTTTTCAACACCTAATGCTTATCAGCTATTCTAAATCAGCTAAGCCAAACGGGCTCAAAGCCTTGTTTCTTTATGATAATCCTTTGCTGAAAAAAGTTATAGGTCGACCATCTTGAGTGAGCAGTGAGCACTGCACCAATGCCTTCTCCTGATGCATCCGTTTCAACAATGAATTCCTTAGAGAAATCTGGCAGGGCCAAGATAGGAGTTGAAGTGATCATCTCCTTTAGTGTATTAAATGCTATAGTTGCAGCTTCATTCCATGCAAAACAACCTTTCTTCAAGAGGTCAGTTAGAGGTCTAGAAACAGAACCATAGCCCTTTATGAACCTCATGTAATAACCTGTAAGACCCAAGAATCCCCTCAATGCTTTGATGTTGGTTGGTGGGCTAATTGAGTACTGCTGATACCTTTTGTGTGTCTATAGACTCCCCTTGTTCAGAGATTACATGACCTAAGTAATCCACTTGAGTTTCTCCGAAAGCACATTTGCTTTGCTTGACAAACAGAACATTGGTCCTTAAGACCTGAAAAGCTTTCTCCAAATGTGAAAGATGATCCTCCTAAGAAGAACTGTATACCAAAATATCATCAAAGAAAACCAAGAGGGAATTTCCTGAGGTAAGACATAAAAATTTGATTCATCAAACTTTGGAAGGTAGAGGGGGCATTAGTAAGGCCAAAGGGCATGACCAAGAACTCAAAGTGGCCATGATGAGTTCTAAATGTTATTTTGGGAATGTCATCTTCCCACATCCTAATTTGATGGTATCCTGATCTGAGATCCAGCTTTGAGAAGAACCTGGCACCATGTAACTCATCTAATAACTCCTCTATCACTGGTATTGGAAACTTGTCCTTAACTGTATAGTTATTGAGTTCCCTATAGTCTACACACATCCTCCAACTCCCATCTTTCTTCTTAACCATAACAATGGGTGATGAATAGGGACTTGTGTAGTTCCTAATCACACCAGCAGACATCAACTCCTCAACTATCTTCTCAATTTCCTCTTTCTGTATAGTGAGATACCTATAAGGTCTAATATTGACAAGGGAAGTGCCCTCCTTCAAGACAATTCTATGATCATGCTATCTTGGTGGTAGTAGCTCTCTAGGGACCTCAGACAAATCACTGTACTCCTTTAATAATTTCTGCAACCCTTCCTTGTTTACTACCATGTCTACCTATTCTCCTAACCCCCATAAACAAGGTTCAGTCTCACATTCTGCAGCTACTACTCCCAAGGACATCATTGATAATTCAGCAGGTTTGGCCAAAACTTTGTCCATCTGACCATGTCCTACTAATTTCATAGAAGGAGACTGAGTGCCCCTTAGTGACATCTTCTGACTTCCAATTGTGAACTCCATCTTCAATTTCCTGAAATTCCATAAAATGTCACCAGCCACTGCACTCCTAAAACCATGTTACAGCCACCAAGAGGAAGAGTCAGCATAGCAGACATGAACTGAACTCCCTGCATTTTTCAGATGAACCCCTTGCAAATGGCTTTACTATACATTCTATTCTCATCAATTACAAACACAACAAATGGATGAATCACTGTTAGATAGCATCCTAATCTCTTTGCACTATTAAAGTCCATAAAATTGTGGGTACTACCAGTGTCAATCAAGATTTTCACTGCCTTGCCTTTGACTGATCCAGTCACTCTCATAGTCCTGAACATGGTTCTGAAATCCTCAGTGCCAGTCATAGCATGTACAGAAACATGAGGTAGGATTGAACCATCAGAATCAACATCATAGGCAAATCCTTCCATGTTCAGTAATTCAGAGGGATCAAACAAGGTGTCTTCTTCACCATTTCCTTCTTCCTCAGGTTCTATCACCTCAATAGAAAACAACTGCCTTCTCTTTGCACATACATGGCCTGGAACATACTTTTCATCACAGTTGAAGCACAACCCATTAACCCTTTCTCCTCTGTTTCAGCAGGGCTTAAAAGTCTTGGGTTTCTGTAGGATGGCTTAGTTGTTCCTGAGTAGGAACCTTGTTTTTTTTGGAAAGATGGATTTGGTTTAGAGTGGTTTGGGAATGGGTTTTGTGAGTAAGTGGGATAGACAAAGGATCTATGAATTGTTCTAGGTGTAGAAAGAACAAGGGTATTTTTTAAAGTTTGTTCTTGGATTCTAGCAAGGCTAATAGCTTTCTGCAAAGATCTAGGTGCAAACATTTTGACAGGCAAACCAATCTCAGGTTTAAGACCTCTAAGAAAGCAGCTAACAACATATTCTTCATTCAACTCGACTCTAATTAATAGTTCATCAAATAAGTCTACATAATCTTGCACAGAATATACCTGTCTAAGATCCTTCAAATCACCCACTGGATCATCAAACAATTCTGATCCAAACCTTGCATACAAGCACCTCACATACTCTCCCCAAT